ATACTGTTCTCAAAAAAGGAGCAATAAAATGACTTATAATGACATTCTGCTATATTCATACTCACAGTGCCCTGTTCAGCTTTCATCAGAGAATCATCCTTCTGCAGCAGATGGGAACAAATATAGAGACTCACAGCCAGATAAGTGGAGAGTGAGAGATCTTGGAACACTTAGCCCTAAATAAAGTCCCTCCCCTCAGAGCTCAGGGAATGCCTTGGAAGAAGAGACAAAAAAGAGTGTGAGAGCTAGGCACATCAACAAGGCCTTATAAATCAATAAGAGCAAAGCTCATACGAACTCATAGAGGTTGAGACAGCGTGCATAGGGCCTGCGTGTGTCTGCATAGTTGGGGTCCTAGAGCTGAAAGGAGAAGTGGACACATCCCCCTTCCCTAACTCACAAGCAATAGCCAAGTGATAACCACTTGCAAATAAAATTTAGTTTTCCCCAAGGGAGTTTCAGTGGGGAAGCAAACTACTCTTAAGAATAGGCTAAATGCCCAGAAGTAGATGGCCAACAGGAAGTGAACCATGATGCCACTGAGCACCTTTGGATCTTTCTTGTTTCATAATGTCACATCAGTCCTCTGCCTTTTGTTAAAATGTATATTATTCTATTTTATTCATATGTATACATATATTTCTTCTCTCTTTTTTTACCCTACAGGGGAAAAAAAAGCATATGTATTATGGCTTCCAGTTTACAGTGCTTTTATGGGACTACTGAGTGTGTGAAAGAGTAGTTCTCTGTTTCTTGTGCCTTCTCTTGGACTCTTTCCTGTTGTTTATTTTGTCCAATTTTGATGTGTTAGTTTTTTGTTTTATCTCATTTTATTACATTATTTTAGTGTTATTCCATAGAAGCCTGTTTGTTTTGTAATGAGAAATAGAAAGGGAGTGGATTTGGTTGGGAGGACGTCACGGATAGGATGAGGGGAAGAGCTGGAAGGAGCAGAGGGAGGGAAACGATAATCAGGATATATCATGTGAGGAAAACAATCTATTTTCTTTTTCTTTCTCTTTTTTTTTTTAGGTGTTTTGAGACAGGGTTTCTCTGTGTAGCCCTGGTTGTCCTGGAATTCACTCTGTAGACCAGGCTGGCCTCAAACTCAGAAATCCGCCTGCCTCTGCCTCCCAAGTGCTGGGATTAAAGGTGTGCGCCACCACAGCCCAGGTCAATTTATTTTCAATAAAAGGAAAATAAAAATTTAAATTGTGGTCTTAAAACACTATTTTCTACTAAAAGGAAGGAGAGATCCTTGGAGAAATAGCAATTATATGTTAGAGAGAAGAAATGTAACAAACCTTAAATTTGGACCTCAGCAACACACTTGGTGGCTCGTTTGAACAGTTTCCACTAACTAAAGGTGGGACAGTCTGACTCATAAAAATTCTGAAGCATGCTTATAACAAAAATGTTTGCCCTGTCATGGTGAGTTATTCCTGTAATCTCACATTGGTAAGGCTGAGACAGGAATAAGTTTGAAGCTAGCCAGGACAAAACAGTGAGCACCTTCCATAAAAAGGACTTAAAAATATATAAAGGTATAAATGCTATACAGAAAATGATATAACTTGACACAGCTATATAACTCTTGGGCATCTATCCAAAGAACTCTAAATTAACATATCACACATATTACAGAGATCCGTGCCACTGTAGCACTACTCACAATAACTATATTATGGAATTGACCTAGGTGTCTAACAGAGAGAGGGTAAAGAAAATAATGCTATATATACACAATAGATTTAGACTTTTTTCAGTTTTAAACAATGGGATTATATCATTCATAGGAAAAATGGAGGGAACTACAGATAATCATGTTAAGTGAATTAAGCTGAATAGATTTATGTCAACTTGACATGAGCTACAGCCATCTGAGAAGAGAGAACTGTGATTGAGAAAATGGCTCCATTAGATCAGGCCACAAGCATTTTCTATAGGGCATTTTCTTAATTAGTGGTTGATATGGGAAGGCTCTGCCCATTGCAAGTGGTGCCATCCTGGTAGTCTTGGGTTCTATAAGAAAGCAGGCTGAGCAAGCCATGGGAAGCAAGCAACACCCCTCCATGGTCTCTGCATCAGCTTCTGACTCCAAGTTCTTGCCGTTTGAGTTCCTGTCCTAACTTCCTCTAGTAATGAACAGTGATGTGGAAATGTATGCCAAATTAACCATTTCCCCCCAATTTGCTTTTGGTCATGGTGTTTCATCACGGTAATAATAACCTCAAGTAAGAAAGAAGGGAAATATGTTCAACATACAATATATACTTGCATGAAAATTTTAATTAAAAAGGATGTAACTTGTTGGTCACCTTCAGATGGTGTTCAAAACCATTTTAAAACTGTCTTAAAATTTACTTTTATTTATATCTATGTGTCCATGTGTGGGTATGTGCACATGAATGTAGGTATCCACAGAGGCAAAAAGAAGGTTTTGGTTTCCTTGGAGCTGGAGTTACAGGTGTTTGTGAGTCTACTGATAAGGGTGCTAGGGAACAATCTCAATTCTTCTAGAAGAGGAGCAATTGGTATTAACTTCTGAGCCATCTTTCCAGCCCCACTAAAATTATTTTTGAATAATGATAAACAAAACCTTAATCATTCTATAGAATATGTAACTCATGCTAACCAAATAGTAAACGAGAGACAATCTCTCTCTCCCTCTCTTTCTCTGTCTGTTTTTTCTCTCTCTCAGACTCACAGAGATCCTCCTGCCTATGCCTTCTGAGTGCTGGGATTAAAGGCAGGCACCACCATGCCAGGCCCTGACAATTTGTTTTCATAGAAGTATTCTAGCTAGATAATAAATAACAGAATTAAAATCTCATCCTTAAATCATGGGAGTCCTACTAGTGGCCATATTCTCAAAGAGCAAATCTCCTTCTTCCAGCCAATAGTTAATTAGGAAGGGTGGGCTTTTTGTGATCATCTACCTTCTATCTATGTTGCAATTTGGGCTGGCTTAGTCTTGTGCATGTAACAACTGCTTTGAGTTTCCTCACATTCACGAACATATGGACAGCACCAATTGGACTTGGTTGTAAGAAAAAGAAAAGACATGAAATTGGGAGAAAGATCTGTGGAGGGGATGATGGGAGGAATAGGAAGTGGGAGATGGTTGGGAAAGTGTGATCATTTTATTGTATATGTGTAAGAAATTCTCAAGAATAAAAAAATGAAACATTTTTGGTTGTGAGCCTAGCATTTGATGGCCCAGTAAAGTACAGGATAAGCATGCTATAACCCATAGACGCTAAGTAAAAAGGAGGGCCCAAGGGAGGATTCTTGAATCTCAATTAGAAGGGGATATAAAAGAGACATTGGAGGTAGATGGAGGGAGGGAACTTGGTGGGAGAAGGGGTAGAGATGGGAATAGGGATGGGGAACAGGTGTGGGGACAGTAGGGGTTACTGTGTGTGAGACAGGGCTGAGAGAATGGAAATCAGCAGGGGGACATTTCTGGGACAAGCTGGAGACCAGAGATGGGGGAGACTCCTGGGAATCTATGAGGATAACCCTAGCTGAGACTCCTAGCAGGGCGGATATGGGGCCCGAAGTGGCCACTTCTCATAGCCAGGCGGGACTCTCAGTGGAGGGATAAAGACAGCAACCCACACACAAATATTTCAACTCAAAACAAGATGTACAGGGGCAAAGACAAAGCAGAGACTGAGGGAATGGCCAACCAATAACTGCCACAACTTGAGACCCATACCCTGAAAGAGAACTGACCCCTGACACTATTAATGATACTCTGCTAGGCCTGCATTCAGGGCCCTAGCATAACAGTCTTCTGAGAGGCTTCATCAACAGCTGATGGAAAGAGATGCCGAGACCCACAGCCAAACATTAGATGGAGCTTGCATAGTCTTATGGAAGAGCGGGGAAAGGACTGAAGGAGCCAGAGGGGTCCAGGACACTACAAGAAGACCTGAGGAGTCAACTAACCTAGGACTATGGGGACTCACAGAGACTGAACCACCAACCAAAGAGCATGCAGGGGCTGGCCCTCGGCCCCCTACACATTTGTAGCAGATGTGCAGCTTGGTCTTCATGTAGGTCCACTAACAAGTGGAGTGAAGGCTCTTCTGACTCTGTTGCCTATCTTTGGATCCCCTTCCCCTGGCTTGTCTTGTCTAGCCTCAGAGGACTTGAGCCAGGATGGGTTGGTACCCATGGGGTTCTTCTTTTCTGAGGAGGGGGAATTGGGGGAGGGGTGTGAGGGTGGGACTGGAAGGAAAGGTGGGAGGGGGCTGTGATGTTAAAATGAATAAATTAAAAAATGAAAAATCATAATTTTGCATTTATTAGTGAATTAATTAGCCTCAGTGTGGGACTGTAATTTGGCCACACTCCCCAGAGCCCAGAGAGAGGGCGGAGAGAACAAATCTCTGGCTCAAGATTTCCCTGGCACCGCCCTTCTCCTCCGTTTCCAATATATAAGCATGTTTATGTTTATAAACCTTCCGACGTGTTTCGGGAGAGCGTTTCATCATTTACCACCCAAGCCCGTCATCTATTAATAAATCAACACATCTCAAATCTTTACATGTCTCGTGAATTCTGGATCTGAGTAAGTCAAAAATCCTGCGCGCCCCTGCCCACGCAGGGCGGGGGAGGGACCCTTGTTAGCCGTGTGGCCGCCGGCCCGGGCACTCTCTGTACTCTAGTTAGCTGCGGCATGTGTCCTGTGTCTCTTGTTGCTGCGCGCCAGCTCACGGGACAGGGGATGAGAAGCCTTTTCTCCGCGGTCGGCTCTGCACGCCGGCCATCCGAGACTGCCGCTCTGTCGGAGCGCGCGCACGCGCACACGCACGCGCACGCACACACAGAGCGCCCTACATCTCAGCAGTAATTAACAGGAACTAATAGCATAAAACAGACAAGCGTGTTTGACAAACCTCCTGATGGAATAGTTAGGAAGGCAAAAGAATGCCCTAAATTTAATCTAGCTTAAAAGAAAACCAAGACAGGGGGCTACATGAAGATACTACCTGGAAAGCTCCAAACTGGAATTTCCCCATCTTCTGGGTCTGGTTCTTTTTTTACCTCCAGCTTGATAATGAGATCTGGCTTAGTAACCTGCTGTTCTGAGGATGATAAATGATAGATATCTCCTTGGTCTTCAGAGCCTGAAACAGCACAAGTTGCAGTTTGGGGTCAGCAGAAAGGACCTGTCACTTAACACAAACCATTTAACCAATATTTTGAGTTTCCTTTAAGAAAAGGAAAATGTGAAGACAAGCAAGAAAATACTGGATATAATACCCATCAAAACTTACCTGTGGAAGCCACCTCACCCACAGAAACAAGGTTGCTGTAGGTCTCAAGCATCACATCTCGGTACAGGGTCCTCTGTGGAGAGTTCAAGTATTGCCACTCCTCCTGAGTGAAATCCACAGCTACATCCTCAAATGTCACTAGTTCCTGTAATGGCAAAGTTCTTTTATTCTAAAATGCTGACCACTGAATGATAAGGATACAATGTGAGAAAACAGCTAATTGAGCTCCCAGTTCAATCCCTCGTCTACAAGCATATCTGCCATGCATTTTCTTAATTGCTAATTGATGGAGGAGACCCGGCCCACTATGGCAGTACCATCCCTTTGCAGATGGGTCTGGGTCTTTGAGAAAAGTAGCTGAGTAAGGCAGAAAAAGAAAGCCTATAAGTAGCATTCCCTCCTCCATAGTCTCTGTCTCAGTTCCTGCCTAGTTTCTTGAAAATTTATATCCCGACAAGTGACTCTGCAGCAGAAAAAAATACCCCTCAAAATGCATCACTGACTTAAATGTAGTATCTAAACCCATAGTATTTGTAGGGAAAAAAAGTATTGGATAAAGTCCCTTAAATCTTGATGAGTCAAGTATTTTTCTGTAACCAAAAAATTCCAAAGATATTTACTCTTTTTTTTGTTTTATTTTTGATACTCACTCTTAAAGATAATGAAAAGGTAAGTACAGAACAGAAGTAAATATTACAGCTTAGATATCTGATAATATAAAAAGTACTATTAAACTATTGGACAGTATGAAAACTAAAATAAGATATAAGAACTATCTGCAAATACAAAAACAACTATTACAATAAGAAGTGGAGTAGTACACCAAATAAGACATATAAATGGCAAATAAATACATAAGAAATTGTTCAAAATTACTAGTCATTATGGAAATTCAAATTAAAGCTATAGTGAATGAGGCGCTACCACACATCTGTTAGTATAGGAGAACTTACAATATCAAGTAGTGTAGATATGGGACAGCTGGATCTCTTTTATTACAGACATGAAAGAAGAAATAGCACAGGCCTTTGGAAACAGTTTTCCAAGTGTTTGTGAAGTTAATCATATACTACCTAACAACCCAACAATCATGCTCCTAGGTGTATCTATCCCAGTAAAATAAAAATCTCACAACCCCCAAAAGCTTATTAAAAAAAACCTCAAAAGTTTATATTCATTTATTTTTAATCACCCAAACATGAAATAACCTAAGCACTTTCAGTCAGCAAATGGACAAACTTGAATCCACATAATTTTGTGGATTGCTATTCAGCAATACAAATGAAATGCTTAACACATGTGATGATACAGAGAGTCAATGTATTGTAGCAGGGCACTTGCCTAACATGTAGAAAGGTTTAGGTTGAATCGTTTGCAGTTTCAAAAAACTCAGCTTACTAAAAATCCCTCAAATCTCTCCATAAACTTTATAATAAAATATACTAATGAACAAATTATATATCACACATAATCAATACTTTTAGTATAATGTATAATATAAACTAGAGACTAATAAAGAATGTTCTAATTACCTAAAAATTAAAAACTAACAAGCAAGCAAAAGCACAAACATCCAGGTCAGCTGTCTTTCAAACTCTTGCCATCAGGTCAGCTAGTCTTTTCAAACTGTTTAAGAATACAAGAGGGGTCTGAAAATTCAGAGCAGACTGGGTAAAGGAAGCTGAGATCATGTATAGAAAGATGCCTAGTGCACTGCCATCTATGTGTATGAAAGTCCTGAAAAAACTGATCAGCTCTCAAGAACTGCTAGCTGTAGGAAAAATGTACAGGGCCCAGGGTGACAGTCATAAAGAACATCATTTCTGAAGGAGAAAATGGAAACAAAAGAACTAGAAGCATCTGAAGAGTGTGTAATGACAGGAGAAAAACAGAAATGGGAAATTAGGGTCATATATGTTATGATTGAAATATGAAATGTATTGCACAATGTTTTGAACATTTGCTCCTTAGCTGGTGGAACTGTTTTGAGAGGTTATGGAGCCTTTAGGAAATGGTACCTGGGGTAAGTAGTTTATTAAGAGATGGAGTTCTCCATTTTGCTGGGGCAGACTCCTAGTTGGTCTGCTCCCATGAAGACACCATATCCTGATCTATCCTAGAGGAACCAGTGTACTCAAAACAACTGTTAAGAACCCTCCCCTAAAACCCGAAGACACAGAGCTGCAGCTGGGAGCCTGGGGCTCTCAGGACCCATCACCCACCCAAATCCCACCCCTCCAGAATACCACTCCCCTTCCACCCCTCGATTGGTCCTTTTGGCTGGGGCAGACTCCTAGTTGGTCTGCTCCTTTGAAGGTACCTTATTCTGAGCCATCCGAGAGAAACCACTGCACTCAGAGCTGTGGAGGAACCACTACACTCAGAAAAGTTGAGGACGAAGGACTCCCAGGAGCTATTACACGACAAGGATCATTGGATTTCAGGAACCCAGAAGCAGCCTGAATCCCAGGTGCTCTTGCACCCAAGAGGTCAGGATCACAGAGATAGCTGGACTCTGAGGAGTTATGACACAAGCAAGATAACAGGAGACACAGGCTCCAGTCAGAGACAGTGAGTGCACGTAGCACTAGAGATAACCAGATGGTGAAAGGCAAGTGCAAGAACATAAGCAACAGAAACCAAGGTTACCTGGTATCATCAGAACCCACTTCTCCCACTATAGCAAGTCCTGGATGCCCCATCACACCAGAAAAGCAGGATTCAGATTTAAAATCACTTCTCATGATGATGATAGAGAACTTTAAGAAGGACATAAATAACTCCTTTAAAGAAATACAGGAGAACATAGGTAAACAGGTAGAAGCCCTTAAAGAGGAAACAGAAAAATCCCTTAAAGAATGACAGGAAAACACAACCAAACAGGTGAAGGAATTAAACAAAACCATCCAGGATCTAAAAATGGAATTAGAAAGGAAAAAGAAATCACAAAGGGAGACTAGCCTGGAGATAGAAAACCTAGAAAAGAGATCAGAAGTCACAGATGCAAGCATCACCAACAGAATACAAGAGATAGAAGAGAGAATCTCCGGTGCAGAAGATACCATAGAAAACATTGACACAACAGTCAAAGAAAATGCAAAAAGTTCCTAACCATCCAGGAAAACATCTAGGAAATCCAGGACACAATAAGAAGAACAAACCTAAGGATAATAGGTATAGAAAAGAGTAAAGATTCCCAACTTAAAGGGCCAGTGAATATCTTCAACAAAATTATAGAAAACTTCCTAACCTAAACAAAGAGATGCCCATGAACATATAAGAAGCTGAAAGAACTCCAAATAGACTAGACCACCAAAAATTCTTCCCATCACATAATAATCAAAATATCTAATGCACAAAACAAAGAATATTAAAAGCAGTAACAGAAACAGGCCAAGTAACATATAAAGGCAGACCTATAAGAATTACACCAGATTTCTCACCAGAGACTATAAAAGCTAGAAGATCCTGGACTGACATCATACAGACCCTAAGGGATCACAATTGCCAGCCCAGATTACTATACCCAGCAAAACTATCAATCACTATAGATAGTGAAACCAAGATATTCCATGACAAAACCAAATTTATACAAAATCTTTGCACAAATCTAGCCCTACAAAGGATAATAGTTCGAAAACTCCAACACAAGGAGGGAAAATACACCCTAGAAAAAGCAGGAAAGTAATCTTTATTCAACAAATCTAAAAGAAGATAGCCACACAAACATAATGCCACCGCTAATAACAAAAAGAACAGGAAACAACAATCTCCTCTCCTTAATATCTCTTAAAATCAATGGACTCAATTCCCCAATAAAAAGACACAGATTAACAGACTGGATATGAAATCAGGACCCAGCATTTTGCTGCATATAGGAAATGCACCTCAGTGACAAAGACAGACACTACCTTAGAGTAAAAGGCTGGAAAAAATTTTCCAAGCAAATGGTCCCAAGAAATAAGTTGGAGTAGCAATTCTAATATCAAATAAAATTGACTTTCAACCAAAAGTTATCAAAAAAGATAAGGAAGGACACTTCATACTCTTCAAAGGAAAAATCTACAAAGATGAACTCACAATTCTGAATATCTATGCTCCAAATGCAACAGCACCCACATTCATAAAAGAAACTTTACTAAAGCTCAAAGCACACATTGCACCTCACAATAATACAATAGTAGTGGGAGACTTCAACATCCCACTCTGAGAAATAGACGGATCATGGAAATGGAACTAAACAGAGATACAGTAAAACTAAAAAAAAATGTTTTGAACCAAATGGATTTAACAGATATTATAGAACATTTCATCCTAAAACAAAAGAATATGCCTTCTTTTTAGCACCTCATAGTACCTTCTCCAAAACAGATAATGTAACTGGTCATAAAACAGGCATCAACAGATATAAGAAGATTGAAATAATCCCTTGCATTCTATCAGATCACTATGTAGTAATGCTGGTCTTCAATAATAACAAAAACAATAGAAAGCCCACATTCATGTGGAAACTGAACAATACTCTACTCAATGATAACTTGGACAAAGAAGAAATAAAGAAAGAAATTAAAGACTTTTTAGAATTTAATGAAAATGAAGGCACAACATATGGAAACTTACGGGACACAATGAAAGCAGTGCTAAGAGGAAAATTCATAGCTCTGAGTGCCTCCAAAAAGAAACTGGAGAGAGCATACACTAGCAGCTTGACAACACACCTGAAAGCTCTAGAACAAAAAGAAGCAAACATACCAAAGAGAAGTAGATGGCAGGAAGTAATCAAACTCAAGGCTGAAATGAACCAAGTAGAAACAAAAAGAACAATACAAAATATGAACAAAACCAGGAGCTGGTTCTTTGAGAAAATCAGCAAGATAGAAAAACCCTTAGCCAGACTAATCAGAGGGCAGAGAGACAGTATCCAAACTAACAGAATCAGAACTAAAAAGGGTGACATAACAACAGAAACTGAGGAAATTAAAAAAAAAAATCAGATCCTACTACAAAAGCCTATACTCAACAAAATGGGAAAATCTGGATGAAATGGACAATTTTCTAGACAGATACCAGGTATCAAAGCTAAATTAGGAGCAGATAAACCACCTAAACAGTCCTATAACCCCTAAAGAAAGAGCAGCAGTCACT